CATTTTTTTGTTTCCGGAGCTAATTATTAAGCAAGTTGAATTAACTGTTCATTGGCCGAATGCAATTTAATCATACATCTTTCATCAACTTTGCACGAGATTTTGCTGGACTCCATTTATTGCGTCACTTATAATTGCTGTAAAGTGTTTATTGTTATTCCTTCTTAATTTTCAAGGCAAGCAGTACGATGTCAGCTAATTAGCTTATTTCACTACTTAATTGCAAGGCTACATTAGGCGATCCTTCCAATCCCACCGTTTGCAAATTTTACTTGTATTCCCTTCGTCTTAATTTATAACATAAATTTAAACAGAACTATATATATCAATAAAACTTATCCGCCTTACAATATTATTTTGAAAATAAAAATATAAAATTTTAAAATATCTTTCCTTTAATATATAACTGTAAATGAATGAAGAGAGATGGAATAAAAAATACAGAATTATCTTAGAAAAAAACTTATATATTTAATATATTTATTTTCAATTAAATTAACATATGTATATCTTTTATAGATAGGTTATTTATTTTATAACAAATTTTTGTTATTAATATAAATAACACGTTAAAATCCAAACGTGTAAATTTAATTAAATAAAAAATATATTAACTATATGAGATTAATTGTATAAGTCTTGCTTATTGTCTTATAACATGAGGAAATTAAACGTACATACATTAAGTCAAGGATTTTTTGGACACGAAATCCAATGATTCATTGCATCAAACTTATTCGAAACGTCTTGACCTAATAAATATTTTTTATTGATGTATTGAAATTGAACTCTCAACTCATGACTCATCAGGCAAGGTAAAAAAGCTCTCAGCTCATGCATGCTGTTCTCACTTCGCTGTCATTTGGTTGTTTAGTTGAATTAGACGTGGAACGTTATCATGAAAAAATCGTGGGTCAAGTATTTGAGAGAGTCAACATATAATTATATATAAGAAACGGTAATCTTCTATGACTGTATTCTAATGGTGCTGGTCCCGTCTTATAGCTGGTGGGAATTTTATGGACCAGGACTTGTGTCGGCAAATAGGCGATGGTAATAAATCTGTCCGTCTTTGGGTTGATAAATTGATCCCATTGATTCCTAGTAAAAAGCTTCATACAGACAATCCAGAGCTACGTAAGTCTGATGTCCGAGGGGGCATCTCTGACAGAGAATAGACAATGTAATTTATCTCACTGATGATAATACTGCTTCTGCCATAGCCCAAATCCGCCTCTCACGGCCGGAAACGAGTGATAAGGTTTTATGGAATGGGGCACGAAATGGAATATATGTACAGTTAAACAGGGGTGTGCCTTGAGCATGAATAATAAGGCAAGCTACGTAGTGCAAAAGAAAGCCAGTTCTTCGTTCTTTGTTTTTGAAGCCCTGCGGAGGAGTATATGGCAGATTCGAACCATATGAATCACTCACTTTATTTGGAGAGGTTTAACGAAGTCACTAGCCACTAACGAAGCCCTTATCCAAAGATGGACATTTGAGAAGTAGAGAATGGAACTCTCGAGCACTTGCTCTTTCCCTGCCCGTGGGTTCGCGGCATCTGGCTCGGAAGCGGTTTGTCTCTGTAGTTTGACTCCTTTGATATTGCTGGCTTTGGTGTTTGGTGTGGCACTCACCTCTACTCGCAAAGCCCGCTTAATGACTTTGAAACCGCCTATATTTGCTGGCTCTTATGGGTGATTTGGAAGGCCCGCAACAATAAAATCCAGCCCAGAACTAAATAAAGGGCTAGCAAACAAAAAACTTAAAAAAGACATTTGCATGTCTCTCTGTCACACTAGTACTCTCTTCATAAAAAATATAAAATATTTTTAATTAAATTTTATTTTTTAATAAGGTTATTACTTACTTTTAAACTAACTTTATTTTTCTATATTTACTCCTATTAAACACCTTATAATAAATATAAAATTATTATTAATAGGGATATTTTTTAAAAAAGGTAATGATTATATCTCAAAAGACTAAAAATGCCTTACATTTTTTAACATTTAACTCCTGAAAAAATGTCTTACATTTTTAAATAGAGGGAGTATGAAATTTGATAAATTTTTAAAAAATATTATAATTATTAAAACATTAACTATTTTATTTTTATAATTATAATTATAATTGTAAAACAAAAGAGTTAATGTATTGATGTAGAAAATATTTTTAAATACTAAAAAAATTAAATTGAATCTATTTAAAGAATAAATAAATATATGTTACAAATAATAAAAATGTTAAATTTATAAATAATGAAAATATCAATTTTTAGACAGAAATGTGAAAGGATAAATAGGTCATTTAATAAATTTAAAATGTATTAAATGTTATTAACGGTTATATTTCAACATAACTAATGTAAAAAGTTTCAAAATCTAGCTTTTGGTCTAACCATAGTTAAAAAAGACAAGCTCATTTGTCAATTACTTTTACCCATATATATATATATATATATATATTAAACTTTTATCTAGTTTGTAAGCCCACAAACTATACTTTAAACCATCTAAATGGAATCCAAACAAAAGCACTAAGTCCATCTTAGCATTCCCTCCAAATATGCTTGCCCAAGATATGATCATTGCAAGAGTTATTTTTGAATGTGACTGTCTCACCCATGGTGGTGGTGGGCCTATGTAGTCGCGAGGATGGACAAGCAACGCGACTCAATTTAAGAAATGGACGAGCCCCCATTATTTCAAAAAAATTTCGAACTATAATATATTTGAGTTTAAAGAAATTCATATCTTTTATATTGCACTTCAATTCAATAGATTTTAAATTTTCAATACATTATATTTAAATTTAGATTGTTTTATTAAAAAATATTTAATTTTTATTTTCTAATATTATTTTGCAAAACTAGATATTTATTTTATATATATTAAATTATTATTAGTATTATTTTGTTTTAGCATTTTATATGACTATGCCCGCTCAAGGTCCTGCGTTCGCCCGTGTCTCTTGTATTTAAGAAAGTGAAGTAGAGATATAATGGGTGGAAATAGCATCATTTTCCTTATAACTCCTTCTAAGTCCTAACTGATGATGCCTTGAGCGTGAAGTCCTCTTCAGTTGAACCGAGTTCATCCGCATCGGCGTTGGCTGATCCGTTTTTTCATTCTTGTTGCTGTTTTGCTTTACCGTTCCGTCCTTTGTTTCTTTTGTGCTCTGCACTCTCCATCTGGCTTTTGCTTGTGTTGCTGTCTTTCGCTCTTTTGACAAAATAACATTCAGCACTTGAGACAACAACACAAAAAAAAAAGGGGAAAAAAATAAAAAGAAGAAAGAGAGAAAGAAAAGAAAAACCTCCAGCCTTAACAGTGACCGTACAGTGGATTCGTCATTTTGCCCTTGCCTCCATTTCTTTGTACTTCCCTCTCCCCATCCATATAGGCGAGCCCTGGCTAATGTCTTTGATATTTGTCACTCTTCTCCTCTCCCAAGTCCCAACCAAAACGGTCTATGTTTTTAAAAAAATAAAATAATTTTTTATTTATACATAAGTTTTGCAAAGGTTCTGTGCTTGAGCCTTAAATTTCTACAGGAAAATGCAATGTATTATCAAAAGATTCACACAAAGATTACTTGGAGTCACTAAACAAAAATTTTTACTCCATATTCCAAAACATAACAAGCTAGCTTGCTACATATTTCAATTATATTTATTATCTACAGTTTACGCAGTACTCTATACCAATATTAAAGGGAAGAATGATAACAGAATCTAAAATAAATAAATAAATTAATTAATGACTATTAAGTTTTCAATAAATTTTTTTATAAAATAAGTTATAAATATTTATTCAGATATCTGTAAACATGAATTTGAATTGAAAATTATTATTATATTTAAAATTTAAATATCGTGTTTATAATTAAAACTTTTAAATTTATAGCTGTCTGAATTAAATATTTATAATTTATTTTTTTTAAGAAATTTGTTGAAAACCAAATTGTGATTAATTTGTTTTTGGGACTTAACCGTCATTCTCCGATACTAAAACCAGTAGAATTTCTAGGTGTATATATCAACCATTCAAGACAAGCTCAACTGGTTAGGATATAATGCAATTTTTAGTTCTTTAAATTTGCTGTAGTTATTAATTTGATCAAACAAGTTCAATTTCTATCCATTTAATTCATTAAGTTTACTCTAATTATCAATTTAGTTATTATTATTTAAAAAAATGTTATATTGTTAAAGTTTGCCTATATTGGTGATAGCCATGTGGATTAACAAAATGAGCATAGTTAATTAGGTAGAAAAAAGAGACTTTGAAATTTATAAAAAAAGAGAACAAAACATATTATAAGAGATTTTATTGATAAAAATTAAACTCATTTAAAGGTTAATTTGTCCTTATTTAACTACATATGTATGTCAAATTATTAATATACTTTACATATTAAATTATTGTATGAGTCAGTTTGTGTTTTAAAATTTAAAGGACTTACATAATAATTTAGGAAAATATAAATGCTCAAAATAAAAATTAAACTGAACTAAGCAAATAGACAATTGAGACAGATTTGAAAGATTAAAAATTTTATCATCCCTATATCTATTATCATTATAAATATGCCTTTTTATAGTAACGTGATATGATAAGCACAATTCAAATAAAAGCTACACATATTTTTCTATGCATCACATGGTTTGATAAACGAATCGCATTATTCGCGACCCGAGAATATTATTGTTTGCAATAATAAATTTATTATATATATCGATGATTCCTATAATTATTTATATATAAAAAAGGTTGGCAAATTTTTATTTTTTAATATGTATATAAAAGAGAAGGCCCGAAAGCCTTGCGAAACCGTCGGGTAAAAGAAAGAGGGAAAAATTATCGCCAGGGTTTGTTAAAAAATCGTGGAACCATGGTATTAAAAAAAAAAAGAAAATCGTGGAACTATTGTTCCCGGAAGGCGTACAGAAGGGAGATAAAAAAAGCCCAAATTGTGTTTCTCCACAAGATGAAAGGAAGGGCCAAACGTATAAAGCCCACTAGTGATGATGCCACCTCAGACAGACGCAGGCTCCGTTCGCCGACCTCCGCCGTAGACGGAATCATCTACTCCATTCCAAGTAAGCCCCTCGATATCTCCATGTCTCTGAATTTTCCTAGTATTTTATGTTTCATATGCAATCTCTCTGAACGATAGCTGAAGCCTGAAGCTGCTGAGAATCCTCTGCTCGGGACGAGTAAGCTGCGGCGATTTTAGTTCTTCCATATACAGTCTCTCATAGCCTGTGTTTCTTTTGTGGTATTTTTCATCGAGTTTATGGGGAAGTGGGGAACGATTCTAACGGTTTACAATCTTCCCCTTTGATTTCTTTCTCATACTGGTAAATTTTTTTCCTGACCTTCACTCATAAACTGAACTTTCGTAATATTGCGCAATAATAACTATTCTGCAGGGACTACGAGATTGTGGGGCAAAAGTATAGATATAGGTAGTGCCCAGGAAGGCTGTTTTTGTGCATTGATGTTAGTTAAGCTGATTACTAAGTAACAAACTTATAAGAAGATTAAAAAAGAAAAAATCGGTTTTTTAGCCTCTAAGAATGTGTTTGAAAGCATTGACAATGAGCAATGCATCTCTGAATGATCGACGGCTTAATGTGCTGTTTGTTTTTTACTCTCCACTACCAATAACCCAGTCCCCAGGTTAAGAACAACATAATATCTGGAGCAGAGAGCCAGATCCCAGAATTTAAATTTGAATTCGGAAACAACGATACCAAGAATGCATATATTCACAAACTCCGATATCTCTTTTTCAAAACAATTTTTAACGCATCTTTACAATTTCATCATCGCCTGACTGCATTTTCTTTTATTAATCCTGTTTTAGTTTTGAACTATCTGATAATATTATTTATAGATATCATTTCTTTGTTCAGGTGGAGCATGATTTAAAATATTCACACCTATTTAAATGTTACAACGTTCACGTGTCACTACATTCTGAAGTTTGCGCAGAGGACTTGTCAAGATATGGAAAATTTCCGAGATCAGCCACCCCCTCCGGGTGTTCATTCATGGCCTAACTATTCATCAAATGCTGCTCCTTTGCCACAACCATTACCAGGCCATCAACAGCCCAGCGAGGCTGCAACTCAGTATCCTTCGTACTATTCTGGAAGCGCTCAGTTTTTCCCTCCCCCTTCTAATTTTACCTTCCCTCCTATCTCTCAGAGTGTCTATACTCACACTACGCCTCAACATCAATCTTCTCACAGTGCTCCTCATTTATTGGATAATAATGTCCGTTATAACTTCCAACAAGAGAACTTTTCTCAGTCTGGTGCTGTTAATAGTGCCGAAAGGTTACCTCTAGCCTCAAATAACACAGATGGAGAATATCAAAACATTGAGAACGCTACTGCATCAGTGATCCAAGAGTCTAACGCCAGTCTTCCATTGAAAGTAGACAAGGCTGCAGCAGATATTTCTAATGTATCCTGCAAAAGCTCTGGAGGACAATTAAACAATGCTTATGACATTGATATCGCTACACAGGATGCTATCTTACGTGAACAAGTCTGTATCTTTTGTATGTAGATTTTTATTCATCTTTTCATTTAATCAGTCTGATTTGTCTTGGATTTGTTTTCATTGATAGGAAATTGCCACCCAAAATATCATAAGAAGTAAAAGGTATACGCTCATTTGCTGTTTGGCTGAATGCTATCTTAATTTTGAGTTGTGATTTGACCAATTAAGGATTGCAAGATTCCATGCATGTGTTGTGCCATTCCAGAGAGGCAAAAAGTGGTGGCTCACCGCCCCAGGATAAGTTAGACATATTCTCAGGACGTCGTGATCCCAATGCTTTGAAGGTGCAGATTTAACATGCATGTTAATCAACTAATTGGCTTCAGTCTTTATTTCTACAATGAACTTACCATCTTCCCCTCTTTTCTTTTATCCTATTTTTAATGAAAAAACAGGAACATCTATTGAAGATGGCCACAAACCATAGGGCTGAAATGGCTGTTAAACGTGGGAAACCTACATGCTCAGAAGGTTGGTAATATTGGAAGCTTGAAATTATTTACTGAGCAGTGTTGTTCCTTTTTTCATAGTTTTCCTCACCTTGACATATGTGGTTTGGTCCTTGTATTGGTGGCAAACAAGCAGGGCAGAATTTTGGATAACTGTGTTTTTTGTAGTCTTGTGTGTCAGGATAGCGATTAGTGACGTTTGTAGGATTGTTGAGCATTATTAGATTTCAGGGCCTTCTTATATTGGGATGTCATTGTGCAGAAGGCCTCCCTTTGATTTATGTCTCATGGCCTTTTGGGAGGTGTTTCAAAAGTCTAATGCTAACCCTAGGGAGACCTTGGAACTTTATTATATCGCATTCTTATTTTGCTTTCTTTGAAACTGGCCAACAAAATAATGCTTGGTGCACAACAACCAAAGAAGCATTATCAGTTTTTGCAAGAATCAGAGATGCTAATAGATCAGAAATATTTATATGAACAATATTAGTTGCATATAAGAAAGTAAATGTTTCTATGGGTGCTAGTTGACAGTTGCATGGATTTTGCTGCTAAAATGGCCCTGAGTTTAATTAGATATCTTAAGGAATAGGATTAATCCTTATTTATGTATGTATTGGTTCTTTTGTCTATGGTTATATATCGTAGTGGATTCACTTACTTTCTTTGGTAATATTTCTCTATCTTTTCATTCTTTTGGTACAACGATGGGTCGACTGATTATATGCCCTGATTTCTATATCAGATAACACAGAAATAGGAAATGGGTATGGCGTACCTGGTGGTGGTGCCTATTATGAATCTCCTAGGCTTGGTGCTAGTGGAGGTAAACTTTGTTTCAATTTCCAGATATACTTGACTTAAGCGGCACCACCTTTATTGCAGTCCAGTGAGCATGCTTGTAAGTATAGCTTGACATTTAGTTACTTCTGAAACTTATGAGTAGGTAATGATGTGGCAAACCAACCTGATAAAGGTTCAGAACAGAAACCTGCAACTAAAGAGTTGCCAGAGTACCTGAAGCAGAAGTTGAGAGCCAGGGGTATTCTTAAAGATAATATGCATTCTGAAGAGCCTGTAAGGAAACTCATTGGTTTATCTTTCTTTTCTGCCTCAACTATGCTTATCTTCTTCCTAAGTTCTTTACAATATATTATTTTCTATCAGTCCTTTTCAACTGTTTTACTGACTGACTGTATTTAAATTCAGAAAGATACTTCAGCTAAACCCTCAGAAAATGGAATACTGCCTCCAGGATGGGTATGTATCACTGTCACATACTTTATCTTTCAATGTAAAATTCTCTAGTTGTTATAGTACCTTGGAAGTATGAGAACTTTGCTCAAAGAAAAGTTCAGGTTTACCATCTGGGTATTGTATATGCTGCATATTTAATACTTAGTGCAAATGCAATTATATTTAAGATTAATTGTGAAAAAATTGGGCAATTTGTCAATAGGTTTAAAGGTTTGTGAATTTCTGTTATCCACCATGAAAAGCAAGAGAGATGAACAGATATCCTGGGACTCATTTATTCTTTTCAAATTTCTCATTTTATTAGTAGCTTATATTAAATTCTACCTTTCTGTGAAGGTAGAGGCAAAAGATCATGCAACTGGTGCATTGTACTATTACAATGAAACTACAGGGACGTGTCAATGGGAAAGACCTGGTGAAACATCCTTATGTGTGCAATCATCATCATCATCATTTGTACCTCTTCCAGAAAATTGGGTGGAAGCGTTGGATGAAACATCAGGTTCAATGTGAACAAACGTACAGCGTAGTGTTATTACTTTTGTCTTAATATGATTTTCATTATTTTGTGTTTGCAAAATGATATAACGCAGCCAGAAAACTCAAAAAAGCACATGTATTTTAGTGTGATAGCTGAGAAAACACAAGGAAAGGTGCAACCTCAGTAGATTGGCTCTTACAGAACAGATAACACGGAAGCAATTTCCTGAAAATATTAAACCTGAAACGGCATAGTATGCAAAAAAAAAAAAAAAAAAGCTTGTGCTTCCAGATATCATCTCTCTCTGATATCCATTTCATTTATTTTCCATCACCTCTGCCCATTCCTCCTTCAGTTTTTTGAAGAGCATGTTTGATTTCACATTGGGAACCACAAAAATCATAGTTTTGGTGAATTCCAATGTTGAGCCAAATACGCACTAAGCTTTCCTCCTGACAGAATTGGCTCCATTCACCCACTCAAGGTCCCCTCCTTGCTATCAAAGATACACATGCTTCTCATAACCAACTTGTCCTTTACGCTTCTGCTTATATATAATTATGCGCATGCACACCAGGTTCAATTGCAAGATTAAGCTAGCAAAAAATGTTTATTTTATTTTATTTTTTCATGATCTTTGTTGCTATTTTCATGCTTGAGAAATGAATTTTATCCTGTAGTCTGCAAGTCCAGTATTGCTGTTGTAGTTGCCACTGCAACCATGTTCCAACATGTATTTTATATATTTAATTGTACCTCAAGAAAATTTCTACTGATGGAGTGGAAATTTAGTGTTAATTTTCCTTTTTTTGTTTTATTAGCAAGGTGGGGTCCAAAAAAGTGGCTTTTGATGAGTGGTAGCCTGGTAGGAGAAAATTGCCGAGACAGATGATAAGGAGCCCTTTAAAAGAAACACATTGAAACAAAGATCTAATTGATGCTTACTTAAGAAAAGAACTAATCAGTGTAGAATAAGCTCTTAAAGTGCTTCATATTTGGCAATCGAACCCTCTGAAATTGACTTCTATTTAATGTTATGAAAACAACGAAATGAAAATGAGGAATGATACCTGGAAATGTGTCATTCTGATTTTGGCTATAGACTCCTTCCTACTCCAAAACCTTTTAAAATTGATAAGTGAAGGCTGATTCATATTTGCTGGACAAACTCATGTTTCACCAAAATAGCCTTCTTCATTAGCACCAGGAAGCTGGGCAGTCTTAAAATGAGTATCGCTAATCTTGTGACCTGTAAAACTCATGGTAACTATAAGGTTGATGAGTAAATGAAAAATTAAAGGAAGGATTTATATTGTTAAGGAGTGAGGACTTGTCCCCATGTAGCTTTTTGGAAATAGGGCTTTTGGGGAAGGTAATAATTTTTTATAAGTCCAATATATCAACCTTTACGAACGCCTTAGGACTGGTCAAATCTGAAGACTCAAAGTAAGGTGTTAATATAAATACGATTTATCTATTTCTCTTGCCAGCAAAAATTTTTTACAGCATAACACAAGTTGTCATTTAAAACAACAAGAAGACCGAAACCAAATTCAATATTTCAATGCCTTGTGTGTTCTAACGCTCAGCAACTATTTGCTTCCTTCCACATGCCAATAAACTTCGCATAGACTTTGCTCCTTTGCTATCCATCTTCGATTTCTGCCACCAAGTAAACAATAGGCTTTTCCTACTTAAACAAAGAATTTCTAATCACAATGAACAATAATCTTTGAAGTGGCTGTTGGTTAGGTCAGTGATTAACATGTTAACATGTAAGCCATTTTATAAATATCTTATTTAACTCTTTGTTTTATGTAAAAGGCCATAGGTATTACTACAATACAGAAACTCATGTATCACAATGGGAGCGTCCTAATTCAGCTCAGGAAATCGTCACTAATCCCTCTAACTTGTCAAGCTCAAAATATGGAGATAATCTTGGCGGGGATGACCACTCTTCCAAATTACCAAGGTGCACGGGATGTGGTGGTTGGGGAGTGGGCCTGGTGCAGGCTTGGGGTTACTGCAATCACTGTACAAGGTAGTGTGTAATGCCTCTATATGGATCACATTGTTGCTGCATGAACTAAAGTGGTTGGTTTGTGAAAAATTATTTAGAGCGCACATTGCTTGTTGCATGTAGAAGAATTAAAGAATGCTATACTGCTAGTATTGAAAAGTACTGTGAATTTATAATTGGTTAATGATTATAGGTGTTTTTTAAACCCCAGAGAAAAAAAATCTTGGAGTTGTTTTTAAACAAGTTAAAGGCAATTAACCAGTTAAAAAGCTTGGTCATTCAGTTGATAGACCCAATTTTTTGTCCATCTACACTCTAAATCTAATTCTCATATAGCGCCTTGCAGAGTACTGAATCTTCCACAATGTGAGTATCTGTCCTCCAGTTCAAATGCTAAACAAGGCAATACAACGCCTCGCTCTAAAAGTTCTGACGGCAAGGATGGCAGACCAAGGTATGCTATCCTTTCAGATGAAGAAGTAGAATGCTGTTTATTGACTCTATTTTGCATTGATATTTTTTATTGCTGCTATCCTTGGCACATGCAATTTTACTAGCTTGTAAGAATCCCCCGTTGAAAAGGAAAGGGGGAAAAGTGTTATCTGGTTGTTCTTAAAAATTTTGTAGGCATAGCTTTTGTATTATCTGCTGAACTCAATGAAATCGAGTTTAAATTTGCCTAAAATATATAGAGTGCTGTACAGGTCCAGTTGGAAACCTCCTTTTGATAAAGGAAGCAGAAGAGGCGGCAAGAAACGCGCTCATGCAGAGGATGATGAATTGGATCCCATGGACCCCAGCTCTTATTCAGATGCTCCTCGTGGTGGATGGTATGTTCAACACTAAAAATCTTTGATACTGAATTGCTGAAGACTTTAAACTTTGTTGACAATTCTAATGGTCAAGTGGTTAATATGATCGACTAAAGTTTAAAGGATGATTTATTCCAGGGTTGTGGGCCTGAAAGGTGTGCAGCCACGAGCAGCTGACACAACAGCAACGGTATGCACATTGCTTTCCTTTTTGGAAAATGGCACAAATATGAGACGGGTGATTAAGAGTGTGTCAAGTAATTATGGAAATTTATTGGGAGAATTACGTTGAAGTCCTACATGAGGAAATTAATTACCACAAGGTTCATTAACAACTTTGTTAATAGATCTTATGATAATTAATTTCCTTACGAGGGACTTGTATGTGATTTTCTCAATTTTGTTTGAAAATATGGTCAATCATTATGTTACTGCATTATGCCCTTCATATGAACGCCCTATAGGTAGCGTGTTGAGGCATAATATGCAAAGCAGGAGCTAAGAAAATCTTGTTTCGAAATTAAATGGAGAAAATGGGGTTGAGGATCTCATTGCTGAATCCTGGTTGATTGGGTGGGTGATGTAGACTAGAGCACACTGAAGCACGCCTCTCACACTTGAAAGTTGATATTTTGGATCTTACTGTTGACCTCTCCTCAAGGCTCAGGATTATTATTATTATTATTTTTTAACAAGTTGTGTTTGTGGGTCTATGTCAGGGTCCTCTCTTTCAACAACGACCATATCCATCACCTGGAGCAGTTTTACGTAAGAATGCCGAAATTGCTTCCCAGAAGAAGAAACCGAACTCAAATTATGCACCCATATCGAAGAGAGGTGATGGGAGCGACGGCCTCGGTGACGCTGACTGAGACCATGACGTAAACCACCCTTGCTGTGGACGTCACCTCAGGCTATGCGCTCGGGCGCTCGGCAATGTTTGAGCACATTGACATCACTCAACTCTGACAAAATCTGTCTTCAGTTCCCTGCTCCGGTTGGGTCTCAGTTATGTCAATGTAAAAGTAGCTGTAATTACTAGTGAGAACCTCAGTTTCTCTCTCTCTCTCTCTCTCCCTCTCTCTCTCTCTGTTTTTTTTTTTGGCATGAGAATAAAACTAAATTGAAGTAGAATTATAATGTAATTTGACTGTGAGAATTATTTCTACTCTCCTTTTATTTTAATGAATAATGATTGACGAATATAATTTCAGAAAGAATATTTCTTTTTTCTCTTTAAATAATTATTCTTTCTTTCTTGCCTTAATGAACAAAGAATTCAATTAAATTAAACAATGAAAATTAGGGGGAAAAGATTCAGTCATACCTATGAGGTCAAATTCATTTTACTGAACGATAATGGAGGCTTTTTACGAGCGTGTGATCGTATGCAGAAGAACCCATTTTCCCTACTAGCATTTTTTTTTTTTTTGGCTGGTGGAAATGGTAAAACTAACTGCATATTATCAAAAAATATTGAAATTATGCATTTTTTATCTTCTGTTATTAAATTACATACACGTTTTGAGAAACAATATTTTTCTTTATTACAAGATAAAGTTCTTATTTGTTTTTAGATATGGAAAAAAATAGTATTTTTATATTGATTATGTGTATATATATAACATTTATTATGTTAAATAAATAATAGTAGACGTATCAACAATCTTTTAGTCAATATAAATATAAATAGATAATTTTATTTCGTATCATGAATCAACATAATACATTGTTAAAATGAAATGAACATAAATTATTAGAATAATAACGAGGTGACGGCAGACTGGCGAAAGGGTCGCGTACATTGTTTTCCGAATCTTAATTAAATAAGGCTAAAAATAATATACAGGAACGTAAATCCCCGATTTTTCATCAGGGTTTCCCTAGTTCTCCTCCTCCTTCTCGCTCAAGCTTGATCTCCCAAAGGTAACTCTTCTTGGTCTCACTTTATTCTCTTCAGTCATTTCGATTTCGAAGCTTAGCTTAATTTGATACTCAAATCGAGTCTGTTTATTGTCTATTGCTTTTCCTTTTGTGGTTAATTCAAGGGTGGCATTTTTGCTTTTCCCTGATTGTGTGCTGAGACTTTGTTGGTAAATATTCAGAAGCCCTTAATCCTGACTTTTGAGAAGTTTTCCGTTGTCTGCGGTTGCCTTGGCGATTTAACTGAGTGTTATCCAGTGGTTTTCTATGTTGTGGGTATAGTTGCCGAACTAGATTGGTCGAATCAACTCTCTAAAAGTGTTCATGGATGACTGGTAAAATGGCATTTTTCTGGTCTGTTGGAATTTTGGTTTGGTGCTGGAGTTCTATCCAGACGAGAATCTAGAATGCTTCTACCTGGCTTTTTTTTTTTTTTTTGCCTTTTTAAATAATTATCGGTTGAGGTTGTACTACACTTCACCTTATCTCTGTAATGTTGTAAAACTGTTTGAAGTTCTCTTTTTAGGTAGCCATATGTCATTTTGTTTTAGCGGGATAAATTGTGGAAGCTTCCAGGAAACGATGTTTTTATACGTGTTCGGAGTCTGATGGTTCGTTACGTTCAGGCTAAGGTCGTTAAAAGATTTCCCCTCTCTTTAAATTATCGTAAGCTCTTAAAGTGGATCACCTCTTCCTTTGCTCATGCTCGATCCCATTGCTGCCTAGAAGTTCCTAGACTTTAAAAAATTTAAGGAATCGGAGAACAGTGCTTTGCATGCAAATCGTGTAATCATTGCTTTTAGACCCATCAAGTACTGGGGAAAAAAAAAACTAAAATCAAAGCATTAACTTAAATTAGTAACCAAGATGAGGGGAAAATAATTTGCATAGGGAAAATCTGCTAGAGCTTGCATTTATGAGGGTGACTTCTATTCTTGCATCTCTTCTAGTGAAGCCATGCTTGTTTCTAATTATTTTCTCCAGAGACAGGTCCTTGTAGTTCGGCAAGAGTATCAGTATACTATCGCCTTGGCTTTGCTTCTTACCATCTAATGACTGACATATTGTGATCTGTGATGATTGATATGGGGTACTGATGTTCTTACAAGACCTGCATTGGAATTATGTAAAGAAGGTATCTTTCCGTCTGAGGATATTTCCTCCGTGATATTTCATTACACCCTAAAATTGTATCTTTGCAGGGTGCTGGGAGACTTTAAAATTAGTGTCTGGGGACTGCAAGGGAGAGCAAACAAGACTATGTCAAATAGCAGAAACACTCATTGGTGTTATAGTTGCAGGAGGCCAGTTCAGCTGCGGGGGCGAGATGTGGTTTGCCCTAATTGTAATGAGGGATTTATTCAAGAACTTCATGATATGGTCATCAACCCACTGGAATTCTTTGGACTAGACAATGTTGAAGAGCGTGACCGGAGGTTCAGAATTATGGAAGCCTTCTCTGCTTTTATGAGGCATCGACCAGTAAATAGAAGCCATAGGCATGACATCGTAGTTGGATCAGATTCAATTCCTGAACATGGACCAGGGTATGCTCCTTTGCTGCTCTTTGGTGGCCAGATTCCTGTCAGATTGTCTGGACATGGTGGTTTCGAAGCTCTTTTCAATGGGACTCCTGGAATTGGTCTAATGCAAGGCAATACAGGCGATTATTTTATTGGTCCTGGACTGGAAGAACTGTTCGGACAGCTTTCAGCTAATGACAGGCGAGGTCCTCCTCCAGCTTCCAGGTCCTCAATAGATGCAATGCCTACTATTAGAATCACACATAAGCTTCTTCGTTCAGACTCACATTGTCCAGTATGCCAAGATAAATTTGAGCTGGGGTCAGAAGCAAGGCAAATGCCATGCAAACATATATATCACTCTGATTGTATTGTTCCCTGGTTGGTACAGCATAACTCCTGCCCTGTTTGTCGCCAGGAGTTGCCACCACAAGGATTGAGCGGCAACCGTGGCTCCAATGGTAGAACTAGAGGCAGTTCTGGCAGTAACAATGGCAATGAAAGGGCAAGTGGTAGGGAGAACCAGGGAAGGCGGAACCCATTCTCCTATTTTTGGCCTTTTCGTTCATCCAATTCTAGCAACAATGGAGCAGGGGGAAGTAGCTCACCAACACAGCCTATCCCTGAGAATAGCCACCACACCGGCTATTCCGGCTGGCCATTTGAGTAAGTGCGCTGTGTATGGGATTTGCTTCTCTCCCTCCTTATCATTGAAATTGCATATGTGGAGTAATAAGTGGTTCTTCTAAATGCATCAAATGATGAGACTTTAGTCAGCCAGTGTGGGTTCTCCTGTTTTTAAGGTGAGTTGTGAAAAAATGTGTGTTCTAAACCAGGCGTGAAGATCTTGTATAAATCTGCGCTTTTCTATAAATGATTCATTGTCGAAAGATTCCATTTAAGTGATCATTTGTTTCAAATTTTCGCGCCTAATACTTCCATCCATAGGTTCTTAATGGACTCGATTTATCTGTCGATGGATAATATCAAAAATAACAATTGTATTTTTTATCACAATAATCCTTAAGCTGACACTAAGGAAGTTACATGTTTGTCTTGTATCTTTCTAAATAAATAAATGAATTAAGGGTTATTTTTATATTTGAAATGTATATGAAAGGTTATAAATGTTCTTAAATTTAATTATAAGTTAATTATGTGTCTCAACTTTAAAAATTCTCTTCGTGATCATCTTTACATTAAAAACACTCAACGTACATTAACTATCAATAGGATTCACTATTTTTTAAATATTTTTATCAGGTTAAAGGGTCATTTTTAATGTTGCCTCTCAACTCAAATATTTTATAATAAAAATTATTAAAAAAAATATAATGTGGGAGTTATTAACAATATGATGAGAAAATAATAAGGTGATAAAAAAAAGAATATTTAAAGTTGGGGAATAAAATTAATTTATAATTGAATTTAAGGCATTTATAAATTTTTCGTGTATAATTGAAAAATAAAAATAATCCTTAATGCTAAATAAATATTAAAATTACAGAAATTATATATGAAATATATATCATTTACATCAAAATCTAATTGGTGGGGGAAATGGGTGAAAAGAAAAGGTTTGGAAGAATTAGGTCATGGCCCAAAAACTTTAACCATTCGAATTCGCTAACAAAATATCTATATTATTGGTGAGACTAGAGCATACGCTCTTGTGACTTTCGCACATTTAACAAGAGAACCAATTATTATTGATCTAATTGGTGCAAGTCTAAAATTTCATGCACTACGACTTTATTTTTTAAATTAAAAAAAAGGCTAAAAAAGATTACATTTCGATTCTTTTCCTACCAGTTCACAGATGGTGAAGCTATGAAATCAAGCACCTGTCAACACCTGATTATACGCCTCAATTAATAAGCGTAAACCATGTCTATCTCTGAGAGACTGAGATCTAATTATAATAAAAGACCATTTATTTAATTTATTTCGCATGCTTGGCACGGCCAAAACAGGCAGCAAAAGAAAATGGAAAATTCCACATGCCTAGAATGTTTGCATTCCCTGAGCTGGGTCAGCTACAAATGTTTGTCATCCCACCTTAAAACGAATCCCCTCATTACATCTCAAGATCACATGAAGTCATTCCCTACCACCCTAAATTGTTACAATTCTATTGATTAAAAAACTAATAGCAAAATCGTGTTGCTGTACTATGTTCAATCCAGTAACATCAGCCTCAGAATCCATGTTCCCGTAAAGTAATAAAATACTTTTCTTGTTACATCAAGAGTACTTGAGCCAAAACTTTTACCCACACCCCACCACATTCCTGCTCCAATGGCTGTATTAAAATATTATACCATCCACGAAAGTTGGAGAAGAAATGAAAAACCGCCCATTTGTCATCAATCCCAGCAAATGCGTACACTGGTGTCAAGGTACATCTATTTGAACCACTGGAATAACCTAGCTACTGACAACACCAAGAAAAAGTACGCAGAAGAAGGGGATTGCATAAACTAGGGCAGGGTAGCCGGACTTCAGACCTCTGATTCACCAGCCAGTGCCACCACCAGCATTTCCAGACCAGCCATTATCAGATTTCTTGAGACCGCCTCCCCAGCCAGAGCTTCCACGCTCTGCATCACTTGCACTGTCACCACCACCCCAACCACTGGCTCCACCAGACCCCCAACCACCAGGAAAGGCTTCCCTTCCTGGGGAATTTTGAACCTTGGCTCCAGGAAAATTGCTTAAACCATCATCTCCATCCTTTGTGACAGAACCCCATCTAGCTGCATTAAAGCTAGAATCCTGCCTTTCATTATTGGAGTTGTTTCCTCGGCTGTTATATGAGCCTCGACCACGTCCACGTCCACGTCCACCACTGTATGGGTGTGGCAGACCACTGGGGTGATCATCCCGATTCCCGCTGTTTCTGTAGTCAGTTCGCCCTGAACACAACACAACTATTAGAGCTTCTGACCTTGTAAAAATCTGAATGCATGATTAGGGAGAGAGAAGAGAAGGCCCAGCTGGAAAAGCAGTCATTTGGTACACAGATCAAAGAAGAAAATGGAAAAGACAAAAGGTGCTTTAATTAACACAAAATTACTCATGGTCCTAGTTCAAATTTTGAACAGCACTGCGCGCACAAGTAAATGTTTGTATTGCATTAAAAATCAATTTTAAAAGCCAAAATCATGTGTTTAGATATATTTTCACAAAACTACAGGCTTATTTGATTTTTCAATTATACTCAGTCAATCTTATTAATCAGTTTTATACTATATTACAAAAGATAATCATTTATATTCAAAATCAATCATATAAATCAATTTTATCCAATCTAAATCTAAACACAAGCCTAAAGCATTGGATGGTTAATGAACAAAAGCACAAATCAGTCCATGATGTGTAATAAACCTGTCCTGGAGCCAGGTGTCGAAGATCGATCCCTATCACCCGCATGACTTCTCCAACCACCTTCACTAGAACCCCACACACTGCCCACTGATGCCCCCGAGGATCCACCAGTGGCCGGGCTTCGCATTGGCACCATAGCAGCAACAGATCTAATGGAAGGCGCCACATCATGCTGGGGATCATCAATGTGCCTCTGGAAATAGGCCACAAGCCGATCAATGTCCTCAAACATCCTTTTCCGGAATTTGAATCCTTTTGGATAAAGCCCAATGTACTCATGGTGGGGATTCATACTTCTTATATAAGTCAATATGAACGTGCCTGGATGGTCATGTGAAATGCCAAAACTATAGGCTATCCGCATAGGATTCTCTGCTCTCTCCATCCTCAGAAGTTCATCAACTTCTGCCTTTGTACCCTTCTTGAACTTGCGATAGTTTAGCATAGCCTTTAAGTGAACTACCAAGGGATCAACATAGCGATCCATTACCTAAGCAACAAGGGATAAGAAAACGTAACTAAGCAATAAGCTACTGAAAAAGACAAAGAAAAGAAAAGCAATCAATGCATTTAAAGGCAGGGGTGTTGACTAACCTCATCTAAATCCTCAAAAGTGTCCTCTCCAATTTTGAGTGTCTTCCCAATTCGAAGTAAGCTTGTGATGTCCCTGTGTTCCTTTCCACCTTCAATTATATCCTTGTGAGCATAAACTCCATCATAGATTTTAAGAGTCAAAGTAAGAAATGAAGGTCCACGTGAGCTAGGCCGGATTATACTTTCTCCAAAATCTTTGTCAGACAAAAACTGCATATAAAAGATGTACAAGCTAAGCAAATACCATAATGAAATACCCACAGGAGATTGCAATGGGCAACTTATATTACTATATTTATGATTTGATTGCTCAGCTGTTGTTTTATTGAAAGTCAAGGAAGCCAGTCTGCCACACCATCTACAGAACCGTAATTACTTTATATGAATCTATGATACCTAAACACAAATTTAAACATGCAAACACTTGTCGATGGAAATTGATAGAACACAAGATTATCACAATTAAAACCACTTAGCAACAAACCTCCATTGCTTCATCTGCAGTTATGTTCTGAAAACGTGGATGAACTATCATCCTAGGCTTGAAATGTTTCTTTGCAAGCTCTCTCTCTTTCCGAGCTTTGTCTTTTTCACTCTGTTGAGAGCTCTGGTCTTCATAATAATAGGGGTCAATATTACGGTTACTCTGTAAACGATTACTTCTCATTTCACTCTCCCTACAAACAAGGAAAACCTGATACCTATTCTTCTGTATTGATTTGATTTTGCAAGTGAGAATGTCACCCTCATGTAGCCTGTCAGATAACTCAACTAAATCCCTCCAGTCATCTGTGTAATCTTCCTTCATGAGAATTCCAGTTAACCCAGATTCAAGCGCACATATGGCCTTTTGGGCTTGCACTCTGCGAATTGTAGCTTGGACAATTTTCCCTTCAGCAAGGGTCTCCTCAGTTTCACCTGATATCATATAAAACTCCTCATCCTGATTTGGTTCTTCATATTGTTTACGCCAATCCTGAAATCCCTGAATCAATTCTCTTTTTATGTCATAGAAAGTTTGTTTTTTATTCTGTCGCTTCTTCCCCACAGCATATTCCTCAACATCAAGATTTTTCAAATAACTAGGCCGATCTCTCACATGCTCTATAGCCATCTCTAGCGCATCATCATCATCATTCACATCACCTGTTCCATCCGCCTCATACACATCTTTAGCCAACTCTTGTGCAAGAGAATATGATTCTGGATGAATTCTTGTATCATCGAGCAAATCAATAAATTGGCTGCTGCTAGCAGCCAATCCACTCCTCCGAACACGCAAGAAACCTACAGCATTGACAAAAACCTTTTTACCCAGTTTATGTTCTGTCACAAAGTCCTTCCGGGTAAAAATTGCTCCAGCTCTTACCAGGGACCTCTGTAAGGAGGCAGCCTTTCTCGGACCAAGCCCAGAAATAAACTGTAAAGGAGCGAATAACCATTCATGGCTTATGGCTAAATTAACATCTAAGCCCACCTGATTAGTCACATCTACCATAATCTGCTCAACCATCCCAAATTTCTCATCAGGGTTGAGAAAGCTCTCCAAGGAACTCAGTTTCCATGATAAAATTTCTTTTCTAGGTCCACATAACGTTGCAACCATTGCCAAGGGATTCTGCAGATACCTTCCAAGTGCTACAGCACGTCTCACTATACCTGCCCAGGCGAGAGAACAAAGGGATTAATTACAAGAACCCAAGTGGGACAGGAAAAGCATACCTGCAACAATATTTACCTTGCTGTGAGGGAAGTTGTTCTGAGGAAATTCGAGAATTTTCATACAAATGTGGAAGAGATTCATCCCCATACACAATGCTGAGGCCATCCATCTCATGACCAACATCTCTAGGATTTTCCTCCACCATTTTAAAAATTATCTAATAAAAGTGGAGCAGATTAGCCAATTTTATGTAAGAACTTAGATCGATGTGAGTAA